TTTTCATAGTTAATAAAACACACAGGTAAACATTTTTCTGGTATTCTCTGTTTTCAGCAGACATCAGGAATGTTATCCCTCATTCCATGACCTCTTCTGAATCTAACTTGAATTTCTAGTTCCCTATCCATGTACAGCTGCAATCATTTTTGAATTATCATCAGAAAAATTTTAAATACATTGATATTAATGATATTATTCAATAGATCTTCCTCGTAGGCATGTAAATATTATCCTATCACTGACAGCATTATATTTAAGAGAGATCTTAGTTGTTGTTATTGCTGTTGTTATGTGCTGTCGAGTCAGACCTGACTCATAGCGACCCCTCTTTGGGTTTCCGAGGCAGTATCACCATGGAAGTAGATTGCCCTATCTTCCTTCCGAGGAGTGGTTGGTGGGTTTGAACCACCAGGCTTCTGATTAGCAGTCAAGTGCCTTAGGCACTACGCTACCAGAGTTCTTTAGTAGTGGCCCATTTTTAAATGTATCTCAGGTGAGATCATTCCAATTTCATCTGACCTGAAATAGGCTAAATTTTAATCTCACCAACTCATTACCTAGCCTCAAGTAATCCTGCCAAAATCAGAAGTCCTTCAGTGGAGCACTTAGACCATACTAAACCCAGGTTTTAAGTCCTTATATTTTCTCTAAATAAACCAAAACCTAAATTCAAGGCCATTGAGTCAGTTCCAACTCATAGTGACACCCATTAGGTTTCCTAGTTGGTAAATCTTTATGGAAATATATTGCCCCATCTTCCTCCCACAGAGTGGCTGGTGATTTGAACTGCCAACCTTCTGGTTAGCAGCCATGCCTTATGCACTACATCACCAGAAATCCTCTTTTCTCAGTTTGGTTTATCAGTCACCTTATGCTAAGTCATGCTGCAGTAACAACCTCAAAACCTTGGTGGATTACAACTGAAGTTTAATCACATTATATGTTTATTGAAAGTCAATCTGGACCATGCTCTGTGTTGTCTTCATTTCCAGGACCCAAACTAAAGAAGCAGCCCTTATGTTGGGCATGTTGGTCTTATAACAGGGAAAAGGAAGATGGGGAGTCACATGATGGCTATTAAATCTTCTGTTAGGAAGTAGCATCTCTCACTTTCACTATATAAACTAAGTTATGTGACAAGTATGATGTTGATGGCCATGGAAAAGTGATCCTCACGTGAGGAAGGAAATTAATATTTTTAAGAAATAATATGATCTAGCGCAGGGTGCACAATATCCATGTCTCCCTTCAAGGGATCAACTTGTCATACAGCATAATTATCATGGTCTGTTGTTGTTGTTGTTACGTGCCGTCAAGTCGGACCTGACCCATAGCGACCCCTCCTTGTATCATGGTCTATGCATGTACAAATGTGGTTATATTCCTAGTGACAAGATTGAGGAATGGCTACTTTTTAATGTTTCAGTCAAAAAGCCATGAAAAGATCATTTATCTCTCAAGTACAATATACAAAGATCTTTCCAAATAATATGTTTCCATTTTTCTTGGAACTCGATGTTCCCTTTTAGTCTTTAGACTTTATTTTAGGGAAATATATTTACATGTCTTTTCCTCCCTATTCTCTGTGTTCTGATGTCAGTTATGCATATGTTGGTTCTCCTTTGTTTGTCTGCTACTGTTATTATTATCTCTCTAATTCTTTTTAACTCTTTGCTTTTCCATTCAATTTTGTCTAATATCTCAGATTGTTTCCAAGAGACTCTCTTTACTGCTTCTAGTGTGTCATTCTGGCCAATTGATTTTTAAATTTTGTCTGTGGCCATGATTCTTTGAATGTTCGTAGCTCTTTTATGAGCTCTTTTTCTTTATTTCAATGAAAACTTAATAATCACTGACCTGTTCTTTTTTAATTTAAGTTTTCTTCTTTTGATGTTTTTCAGATTATGAAGAGCAATAGCTGTTTGTTACAAAAACTAAAAATTGTACATACATATATGCTAACATCTAAACATCTTTATCAGCACTCTCTTCACTCCAGCTCTCTTTCCAGTCCCACACCCCTGAGATTATCAATGTTAATTGACTAGTGTCCACACCTTTCTCCTTGCTTATACAACATATATAAGAATGTAGGAGATCTGTTTTTTGTATTCAAATATAATGAGTCTATTATATATTACCAGGAGATCTGGTGGTGTAGTGCCTAAGGCACTTCACTCCTAACCAGAAGGTTAGTGGTTCAAACCCACCAGCCACTCCTCGGAAGGAAGGTTGGACAATCTACTTCCATAGCAATACTGCCTCGGAAACCCAAGGAGGGGTCGCTAATGAGTTGGATCCAACTCAACAGCAGTGAGTTTGGTTTTTTGTTTTTGTTTTTTTTTTTTTTGTATTATATATTACCTTCAACTTGCTTCTTTTCACTTGACAATATATCTTGGACATTCCTACAAGTTATGAGACATAGTTCTAGCTCTATCCTTCCCTTCCGCATTTACTGGGGGAGGGGTTACAGTTTTGCAAAAATGAAATAATCACACATGCATGGGAGGAAAGGATTTAGACTTCTTATTTTCTTTCTGATTGCTTCTCTCTTCTCCTTCCTTCCTCCTT